TTTATTTATTTGTATGTCTGTCTTTCGTTCTGTCTTTCTGTCTGTCTGTCTGCCTGCCTACCTCTCTGTCTGTCTGCCTACCAAATTGTCTGTCTGTTTCTGTCTGTCTATCAGTCTGCTTGCCTACCTACCTGTATGTCGATCTGTCTGTCTGTCTTTCTGTCCTGGGCAGGGCTGTTGGTGTGAGCTACCAGGACAAGTAGTTGTGACTCAAAAACCTCCCCCTTCCCCTTTTTCCCTAAAAACAAAATGGAGAATCAGACACCTTGTGGCACCGTCTAACTAAAAATGAAATATAAATCTGTTAACGATTTCTCGGTGACGCCGCCTCTGCTGCATCACGTGCTTGTGCCTTATCGGTGGCGCTACACCTGCTGCATCAAGTACTTGTGGCTTATCGGTGGTGCTGCCTCTGCTGTATCATGTGGTTGTGTCTTATCGGTGGCGCCGCTCCTTTTGCATCATGTGCTTGTGCCTTCTCGGTGGCGCCGCTCCTGGTGCATCTTGTGGTTGTGCCTTCTCGGTGAAGCCGTCCCTGCTGCATCAATTACTTGTGGCTTTAACGGTGGTGCCGCCCCTGGTGTATCATGTGGTTGTGCCTTATCGGTGGCGCCGCCCCTGTTGCATCAAGTACTTGTGGCTTTATCGGTGGTGCCGCCGCCCCGCTGTATCATGTGGTTGTGCCTTCTCGGTGGCTCGGCCCATGGTGCATCATGTGCTTGTGCCTTCTCGGTGACGCCGCCCCTGGTGCATCATGTGCTCGTACCTTCTCGGTAGCGCCGCCCCTGGTGAATCATGTGGTTGTGCCTTATCGATGGCGCTGCCCTGGTGCATCATGTGGTTGTGCCTTCTCGGTGGCGCCGCCCCTGGTGCATCATGTGGTTGTGCCTTCTCGGTTGGCGCCGCCCCTGGTGCATTATGTGCTTGTGCCTTCTCCGGCAAGTTCCATAAATGATGTACCTCATGTTGTCAATTTCGGTCTCCCCAAGTGGTTGTACCTGCCTTTCCCTCCTCTAGTGGTTGTACCAGCCTTCCCCTCCTCTAGTGGTTGTACCAGCCTTCCCCTCCTCTAGTGATTGTACCAGCCTTCCCCTCCTCTAGTGGTTGTACCAGCCTTCCCCTCCTCTAGTGGTTGTACCAGCCTTCTCCTCCTCTAGTGGTTGTACCAGCCTTCCCCTCCTATAGTGGTTTGTACCAGCCTTCCCCTCCTCTAGTGGTTGTACCAGCCTTCTCCTCCTCTAGTGGTTGTACCAGCCTTCCCCTCCTCTAGTGGTTGAACCAGCCTTCCCCTCCTCTTCCTCAGTTTCTTGTTTTTTTTTTCTTCTTCTTGGTCGTTTCGTCATATTGTACACTTCCTCTTCCACGTTATGACACACCTTATTCACCTCTTGCGACATGCATGCTAGATTATAGCGTTACCATTTTTTATTTCCTTCTCACTTCTTCTTTCGTTCGCTGGAAATAGTTGCACGGCTCTGACCTCTATTATTCCACTTCTGTAAATCTGACGAAACGCTCCTAGACCCTTGTTGTGTGTTAGATTCTTCAGTCTTTTGTCAGTCACTTGGCGACCGTAAAGTTTGGCTTCCACCAGTGTTGCTCCTGGCAAGAAGTGTTTGCCTTGATATGTTCTATTTGCGACAGTCTTGGAGGATCTGTTGTCTCACCTGCCAATCCACATGTGCACATGGCTGATTTGCCACATATAAATGTTATATGCATTTAGAACATGTTGTGACCACTGGAAAGATCTGAGGAAGGAGGGATAGAGGAAAACAACATGAAAAGATTCTTGACTGTCTTGTTGCATGGCATGGAGGTGTGTCGGCACACAAACTGATACATGCTGCAGGAGATCGTGAATTATGGAGAGGCATGATCGCCCACGCCCGTCGGCAAGGCACCTGATGATGATGATGATGCATATGGCTGCGAAGTCGATTGTGCCCCGTCTTTATTTCCTTGACAGGATTCCGGTAACTCAGAGTTTTAAAGCAGGACATCACATCGAGAGATGACCAACAGTGCCACCGTTCGGATGAGGATCATAGCAATCTCGTTCAGCCCTTAGGTTATACTAGGGCCCTTGACTACAGCCGGGGTAAGGCTTCACAAAACCAACTGCGTTACATACTGAGACGGCGAAATACTGCTTATGGTTACACTTGTCATGGAAAAACACATCCTTCAATTGGTGGGATGTGAACCCGGGTCACTACCTTAGCATTCAGTCTTACTAACTACCATGTCACGGGGACAACACAATGGTACCCCTAATTACCAGCAATTAAAATTTCCCTGAAGCAGCCATCAAAGAATAATCTAAGGTAGGTAGTTGTACCCCACCAGGACATCACATAAGCGACAAACACCCGGGGACACAAAGTGCCACCATGCAGATGAGGATCACTCTTGGAGAGGTCCCAGAAACCTCCTTTAGCCGTTAGGCCATATCTATGACTAGGCCATATCTATGCCCCGGCTATATTCAGGGCCCCCGACAGAAGCCAGGGTGGGGCTTCAAATAACTAAAAAATTGCATCCAACATGGGACGACATTTATTATATAATAAGAATGAGCTAAATCAAAGAATCAGCACTTGTCCCGCCTTCTGTTCCCTAATTGTTGCATGACAACAATTGTTTCCGAACTCTTGTCTCTTTCTTTTGCGGGTTTTTTTTAAAACCAAGAACCCGTATCAGTTTTTTTAACTGGTCCGTCTGTCTTCCTGTTGTACTTTTTTTCCAGCTGTATATTTTCCTAATATTACAGTTACACAATCGTTTTGCATTTTTTTTTTTACCCCGAGGCGATGTATGAGCGAGAGTGGAAGCTCAGTCCAGACTTCACCTCTAGCTGTATGGAAATAAATAAACAATCAAAGAGAACTGGCTGCCTCAACAGAAGAGGACAATTTCCATCTTCTGAGCAGGTCATGTCAAAGATCAAAATGGAATTGGTCGGGTCAAATGGGGAAGTTAGAGGGGACAAGTGTGACTGGGGACTAAAAGAACAGTTTTAGATTGTCTGAAGTCTAGACAAGGAGAACCATCTCTTTTAAGGCGATGTTAACCTGAGAAACATTGCGAATTAGAACTGGTTGAAATTTTTTTTAAATAACAGTTGATTTTTACACGCCTTAGTATGTCTTCTGTCAGATTCAGTACTTGATTTTTGCCTTTAAACAAATTATTTTAATGCAATATTATTATTTTACTGAGCTAAACATAGCTGTTAGGGTTTATTTTTTAATTATTACAAAATTGGCGATTTCCACACCTTAGCAACGTGACTTGAATAAGGAGATAACTGCATGTATCATATACAGTTGTCATCGTTATTATATCATTTATAAAATATTTTAAGCTGTTTAAGTTACACAATGGGGGTTGTAGTGACAGTTGCAGTGATAATGTTGATGAAGGCGGGGGTTGTAGTGACAGTTGCAGTGATAATGTTGATGATGAAGGCGGTGGTTGTAGTGACAGTTTCAGTGATAATGTTGATGAAGGCGGTGGTTGTAGTGACAGTTGCAGTGATGATGATGATGGAGGCGGTGGTTGTAGTGACAGTTGCAGTGATGATGATGATGAAGGCGGTCGTTGTAGTGACAGTTGCAGTGATGATGATGATGAAGGCGGTGGTTGTAGTGATAGTTGCAGTGATAATGATGATGAAGGCGGTGGTTGTAGTGACAGTTGCAGTGATGATGATGATGAAGGCGGTGGTTGTAGTGACAGTTGCAGTGAGGACGATGATAAAGCTGGTGTTGGTGCTTGTTGTCGTGATAGTGGTGGTGGTGGCGTGATAGTTCTAGTGGTGGTGGTAATTGGGGTCGGGGTCGAGATAATAATGGTGGTGAAGCAGTAATGATGGTGGTGATAGTAGCAGTAGTGAGCATAGTGGTGGTGTTGGTGAAGATTGCGATCGTGATGTTGATTACAATAATAGTGGTAATGTTAGACTGTAAAATACACTAGTTATTGTGGTGCTAAAAATGAAGTCAGAGTATTTGAGTACAGAGATGGTGTCATCAGATACAGCAGAACTGACACATTAATTTTATTTATTGTCTTGTGCAATAATAAGTCACATAGGGTTCGCAGTCTATACCTGCTTTCATTCCTATCCTGTAAAATCACTTCAATATCATCGATAGAATCCAGTTAGGCAGCCTTGGCTTCTCTCCACAACGTTCACTCTAGGGTTTTTCTGTTTTCTTGGACGTCCTCGTTTCACCGGTCACTCTATTTTCAATTACAGTGCCTATTTGCTAATTTTGCTATTTTTTTCCTCAGGATGTGTCCAAAGAAGGAGAGTAATAAAATATTACACAGAACCTGTTCTGCTGTATGGCAGCGAATTTTGGAATGTCATTGAACAAATTAAGAAGGATTTGGACGCAACAAACATGTTTTTAGTTCTGAGACGAATGTTATGAATACCTTTTGGGGTCAGAGTAACTAACAACGATTTAAAGAAGCTAATGAAAGTAGATCTCTATATTCAACAATAAGAAGGAGACAAGCATTGTTCTTTGGTCACGTAAGGAGAAGAGAGGAATTGGAAAACAACTGGAAAGATTAGTGGAAAAGGGGGGAGAGGCAGACAGAGAGTGATGATGCTGGATGGGCTAAAACGATGGCATATAATCAAGAGAGCTGTTCCAGGCAGCCAGGGATCGTGATCTGTGGAGACGCTTAAGCGCCTACGCCAACTGGATGGTCACATGATGATGATAATGCGTCCCAAATTGCAACATCCTCCCTGTCCGATAACTGTTGATACTAGCCGTTCGTGAATTTATCTTTTGTTCATCTTTTTCCTCAGATTGTTTTTCGAACACATTTAAATTTCTTTCTATGTTTTTGTTGCTGTCTAGCTTTCAATAACACATTATTATAGAACAATAACATACCACTAACTTCCCACAGATACCAACTGTCTGTCCATCGGCCGGACATCCTGCCAGACATTCATCTTCTCCGCCATCGTTATAATGGCTGCCGGATCCATGGCGGAACTGGTCTCCATGACAATAACCGCCTCCCAACAGACGCCATCTGCAGACTGGAACAATCCTCGTCTGGTGCTGGAAATACCGGATAGCTCGTTAGAAGAAAGTCTGCAGTTCGTGGAGAATATCTCAAGGAGGACATACGTGGAGGATGTTCATTTCGTGTTGAAAGCGATCGTTGGTCCGATCATCTGCCTGTTTGGTCTGATGGGAAATACCCTGTCCATACTAACATGGCGACGACCTGGTATGAGCAGCTCTACTGGGCGATACCTAACCGGACAAGTAAGTGAACTTAATTATAACCCTGTTCACGTGTCCTTTCACATTATTAAATAATGATTCCCATTATGACTTTTTTCCTAATAAGATGTGATGCCAGCGTAAGAAGGACTTACAGTAGAAGATGGAATTACCTTATGAAGGACAATATACTTTCATTCGGACCAGCAGTAGCCACTGTTATCCACCAAGCGATGGACTGCAAACTGTTCCTCCCCACAAAGCGATGGGGAAAACAATACGTTAATGGCTGGTCCATATGATATAACTAAGACAAGAATACAGATAGTATTGGAGAATCGTGATGGTGTAAGACGGCAAGGTAGTGGGTGTAGTAGAGTAATAAAAGTAGTGACAGCAGTATAAGGTAGTAGTTGCAGCAGTAGAAGTAGTGGAGTCAGTAGTGGTAGCAGCGGAGTAGTAGAATCAACAACAGTAGCGGTAGAAGTAGGGGAATTGTAGTAATAATCGTAAAAAAATTGTGTAGTATTCTTGTTAAAATAGTTGTTGTGTTAGTATCAGCAACAGCAGTAATTGTAGCATTATTTTTATAATTATAATTACTATCTTTATTTTCCCTTGTGGGTTCCGGGGCCCTATTATAAGGAAAACTAGAATACACCCACTGCCTACCCGAAAGCATGTCATAAGAGTCGACTAATTGGTAGCTTCCTTCGAAATCAGAGTGCATCTGCCTGAGGGGCAATGAACCAACAGCCTGCACACAAATGAGTCAGATCTGTAACCAGAACTTTCCGCCGGAGTTTACAGCTGATGAACATGTAGAAAAAGATTATTATTATTATTATTAGTGTAGTAGTAGTTGTCGTTAATGCAAAGATTGAACAGCCTTGAAAGTCTATGGTTAAGCACCAGCAAGGAGATCAAAATTAGAATTTTTAGAGCATGCTTCTTTCTTGTGGCCACATACGGATGTGAGTCGTGGACTATCTCCTAGTCCTTAAAAAAGAGAATAGGGGCTTTTGAGCTGAAATGGAAAATTTTACGACATTATGGAATTCCAGAAAAAAAAGTCAACATAATTGCTCTCTTCTATAAAGACTTTTCCTGCAGTATAAAAAAATTACAATACATCTTTCCCAGTAAAGACGGGTGTAAGACAGGGATGTGTTATGTCATCTCTCCTCTTCAACCTTGTGATTGATTGGATACTAAAGAACACAGTAGAAAGGACATTGAGAGGCATACGATGGACTCCATTCACCATGCTTGAGGACCTTGATTTTGCAGATGATTTAGCACTCCTATCACATAAACATGAACATATACAAGAAAAAGGTAACAAACTACACAGCACAGCAGAAATGGTGGGACTGAGAATAAATACAAAGAAAGCTAAGATCATGACAAGCAGTCCAAACCAATAACCAGTGACCATAAATAACCGAACTCTTGAAAATGTAGAACATTTCACATATCTTGGCAGTGTGGTGTCCCTGCCGCGAGGGACCGAAGAAGACATAGAGTCACGTCTGAACAAAGCTAGAGCTGCTTTTGGAAGGATGAGGTAAATCTGGAAATCCAACATTTACTGCAGAGGAACGAAACTCCGACTCTACAAGAGCATCATTTTGCCAGTTCTTCTTTATGGAGCGGAATGCTGGAGAATGACCAAAACAGATGCACACAAGCTGTCCACCTTCCACCTCACATGTCTATGTAGAATTATCAAAATTTTCTGGCCAGATACAATCTCAAACACTAAACTACTTCAAGTCACAAACCAAGAAACTTTAGACAGTATAATAACCAAGAGAAGATGGAGATGGCTTGGTCACGTTATGAGAATGAATCCTGATATACCCGCCAAAACAGCTCTTACATGGATACCAGACGGAAAGAGAAAACAGGGGCGCCCAAAAACAACATAGAGACGAAAGATGGAAAGTGAGCTGAATGCGGCATCTTTGACATGGAAAACTGCACTGAAGATTTCACAGGACAGGAAAGCATGGAAAGTCCTCTCTGAAGCCTTATGTGCCACTAGGCATAACGAGAACTGATGACTGATGATGAGCTGAAATGCTATAGAAAGATTCTCAGAATATCTTTGACAAAGAAGAGGAGAAATACTGTCATCTTTAAAGATCTGAACATCAAGGAAGATTTTTTGGTCATATCAAGCGCTACGACGGATTGGACCAAATTATAGCAGAAGGCATGTTACCAAGAAAGAGGGGCAGGGGCCTACCGACACGAAGATGGGCACAGGATATAAGGGACTCCTTGAGTATGAAAGTGCATGAGGCGGGAGAGCTGGCGAGAGACCGAGTTTCTTTCAGGCAGACTGTAATGAGAGCAACGTTCTGCAAAGTTCTGCTACTTGATGATGAGTAGTTATCGTAGTGTGTTAGTAGTAATAGAAAACTGTTAAGATAATGATGACAGAAATTCGTGTTCAGATGCCAAGAGCGAGAAATCTCTAGATTTCGTATCGTTGAAGATAGCAATGAAGGACAACCCCTTCAGTAATCAACTATGCTGTCTACAGGAAACCCACCTCACTGAAGACACAGTCTTCAAAATCAGAGGTTATCAGTGCTTCCGATCAGACCGGAAAGGCAGGAAAAAGGGTGGAATATTGACTCTTGTGAGGAACAATATCACTGCTAGCCAGACTAAAGTATTTATGGATGGAGCAGAATATCAGATTCTGAAACTACAAACTGGAAATGCAGACTTCTACCTGATCAATTATTACTGCCCAAATGATCGTCCCCAGGCTTTAGACACAATCTCAGTGGAAGAAAAGATGATTCTATGTGGAGATTTTAACAGCCACTCACAAAGCTGGGGATATGACCATATAGACCAGAGAGGAGAGAAACTGGAGGAGTGGCAGGATGAGAACAGATTTGTTCTTATTAATAGGCCAACTGATCCACCCACATTCTACTCGAGGTCGTGGCACACCACTACTACCCCAGACCTAGCATTTCACTCTCCAGATCTGGAATGGAACATTAAACGAGTTGTTGGAAATCAACTGGGAGGCAGTGACCATCGACCGGTCTTCCTGAATGTAGAAAATGAGAAGGTCAGAGAAACTAGTACGCTGCCAAGGTGGAACTACAAGAAGGCTGACTGGACAATGTTCAAGCACCGTACCAGTATACTGCTTGGAAATCTCAGCATAGACCAGGATATAAACAAAGTAGTTAAAGAATTTAACAAATGCGTACTAAAGGCAGCAGGAGAATCAATACCAAGAGGTGCCCGTAAGCATTATAAGCCATACTGGAGTAATGAGCTAGAAAATTTACATAACGAAGTAGAAACATCCAGAAAGATAGCAGAGACCAGGCCAAACCAAGAACATCACAATAACTACCAGCATGCAAAAGCAAAATTTGTAAGGGAAAAGCTGCAGGTTAGAAGGGAAAGCTGGCAGGAGAAAACAAGGTCGCTGAACTTTGAAAAAGACACAAGAAAGTTATGGAAGCTTGTGAAACAAATTAATGGTGAAGACACAGGGTGGAACTCAAAGATCACGCTGCAGAAAGATGGAAACATGGTCACAGGAAAAGAGGCAGCCAACCTATTTGCGGACACTTTTGCTTTAGATAACAACATTGAAATCAGTTCAGAGAAAAAACACGAAATTCAAGAAAAGACACAATTTAGAAGTCAGAAAGAAATAACATCAGAGGCGCTAGAGGTGCCAATTACACTTAATGAACTGGAGTTGGCCATTTCAAAGCTGAAAATGCGGAAGTCACCAGGAGCAGATGGTATATCAAACGAAATGATCAGAAACTTAGGAAAAGTAGCCAAAACAAAGCTTTTACAGATATTTAATGCTTGCTGGGCAACAGGGAATGTTCCACAGATCTGGAGAGAGGCAATTATGATACCCCTCATAAAGCCTGGGAAAGACAGTTCTAATGCCTCCAACTACAGACCAATCAGCCTCACAAGTTGTCTCTGTAAAACAATGGAGCGCATCACCAACCTCAGACTACAGTGGTACATTGAAAGTGAAAACATCATTACACCACAGCAGGCGGGCTTTAGAAAGTTCTATTCTACGGAAGACCAGACAACATACCTCTCCCAAGAAATAGAGGATGCTTTTCAAGATAAGAAACTGGTACTCGCGGCATGGATAGATTTAAGGAAAGCTTTTGATAAGGTTTGGAAGGAGGGGCTTTTGAAGAAATTGAGAAACTATAAAATAAATGGAAAAATGTACAATTGGATTAAAGCATATCTACATAACAGAAGAGCCCGGGTACAGGTAGATGGTTTTTAAAAGTAAAAAAGTTCTACTGCGACAAGGCGTCCCTCAAGGTGGTGTCCTGTCGCCCACACTTTTCCTTTTATTTATCAACGATCTGGTTGCTGAGATACCAAATGGAATCAAAATGGCAATGTACGCCGACGACCTGGTACTGTGGTGCACCAATGAACATGCAACGATAGCCACAAAAACACTACAGCGGGCTACAAATGCACTTGAGGCATGGGCCAATAGATGGTGTGTCAGCATCAACACAGACAAATGTAGCACCACACTATTCACCCTCTCCCCAAAGCAAAAAGCCGGCACCATCAAAATAAACGAAATACCCCTGAGAGATGATAAAGAGCCCACATACCTAGGAGTCACATTTGATGACAGGTTGACATGGAGAAAACATATCAACAAGGCAGCAACCAAAGCCAGGAGAAAGACAGCAATACTAAGAAAACTAAGTGGAACCACATGGGGAGCAGATGGGAAAATACTCAATAAAGTATACAAGCAGAGCATACTTCCACACTTGGAATATGGGTCAACTGCATGGTGTTCAGCATCTAGTACCACATTAAAGGAGTTAGACAAAGTGCAAAATCAAGCGCTCAGAGTCATCACAGGAGGGATGAAATCAACCCCCATATTAGAAATGGAGAAAGCTGGGAAAACACAGGCACTGAGAGAACGCAGAGATACAAAGTTGCAAATACAAGCTGAAAAGTTCCCCAGTATGCCAGATCACCCGATGGAAAATAGATTTAAGAACCTAGCCTTGGGACGGTTAAAAAGAAGCAGCTTTATACACCAAGCAAAAAGAATATGTAGACAAACTCCTGACCTTCCAGAAATTGGCTGCCCACTAAAAAGTATTCCGGAACAAACCCCATGGAGAGAAAAATGTAAACTAACGGTACAAATCCAGACAAATGTGAAAGGGATATTTGACAAGAAAGGGCAAGATAGTGTACAACGCAAAATGGCCACCCTCAGTTATATTGATGAAGAATACCCACAAGAACAATGGGTCAGAGTCTATACAGATGGGTCCGCAGAAAGTGCAGTTAGAAATGGTGGTGCTGGAGTGTACATCGAATTCCCAGATGGTACTAGGGATAAGTCCAGCGTACCAACCGGGAAGTACTGCCATAACTACGATGCAGAAACCCAGGCTATTAAGATAGCTACAGAGAAACTGCTAAATACCAACCTTGGCTCACAGTATGTGGTAATGCTTACAGATGCTAAATCAGTACTTGAAGCACTCCAGTCTAGGAAACTACCAGAATTGCACACACTGCTGACACAACTCAGCGTTCAGCGAAGAGTCGTAATGCAGTGGATACCGTCTCATTGTGGAGTGCCTGGAAATGAGAAAGCTGATCAACTGGCAGGGGAAGGTGCGAAAAAAGAGCAGCCAGATGTACCAGTCACATACCACCAAAAGAAAAGAATCATTAAATCGATCAGGAAACCACCAGCCCCAGCACAAGACGACTATTTTATTATGGACAGACCAGAACAAGTCATTATCTTCCGCCTCAGAACAGGGCACAACCGATTACGTAACCACATGTACACAAAATTCAAGATAGGTGTATCAGCCATGTGCACCTGTGGAAATGTGCCCCAGACCGCAGAGCATGTACTCCAGGACTGCACCGAATTTGACACATTAAGACAAACCTTTTGGCCAGAAAGAACAACAGTGGAACGTAAACTCTATGGACCACTGAATGAACTAACAACGACAGTGAAATTTATACAAGAGACAAAACTGCTGATATAGATAACTTATTTCAGGCGAACGAAAGAAGAAGAAGAAGAAGTAATCAACTGGTAATGAAAGCATAATCTCTTCCCCAGGCTATCGCCAACATCTGCTTCCTCCTGATGTTCCTCTTGTGCGACTCGCTGCAACTCTGGTGCCCTAGCGTCAAACAAGCCGTCGTCTACGGTGCTTTTTTCTCCTACTTCGGTTTCCCAATGTTCTACTTCTCGGTCATCTGCAGCATCTGGTTCACAGTTGGCCTGACTGTGGACAGGTATATCATGGTTTGTTGGATCACCAAGGCTAAGGTGAGCTGACCCTACGTCTGTTAGCTTCCTGATTTACTTGCCAATCTTGGTCAACATACTCGTATCTTGTAAATCTCTGAAATATAACTTTAAATTTCTGTAACATATATTGAAGCTCTCTGTAACATATATACTGTAACTTTCAGTACCATGTTTGAAATATATATTTTAACTCTCTGTAACCTATATTGTAACTCTCTTTAACATATATTTTAACTCTCTGTAACATACATTGCAACCCCTTTATCATATATTTTAACCATCTCTAATATATACTTTAACCCTCTCTAACATTTATTGTCAATTTTTGTAACATTTATTGTCGACCTCTGTAACATTTAGTGTCGACCTCTGTAACATTTATTGTCGACCTCTGTAACATTTATTGTCGACCTCTGTAACATTTATTGTCGACCTCTGTAACATTTATTGTCGGACTCTGTAACATTTATAGGCGACCTCTGTAATATTTATTGTCGGACTCTGTAACATTTATAGTCGACCTCTGTAACATTTATTGTCGATTTCTGTAACATTTATTGTCGACCTCTGTAATATTTATTGTCGATCTCTGTAACATTTATTGTCGACCTCTGTAACATTTTTGTCGACCTCTGTAACATTTATAGTCGACCTGTGTAACATTTATTGTCGACCTCTGTAACATTTATTGTCGACCTCTGTAACATTTATTGTCGACCTCTGTAACATTTATTGTCGACCTCTGTAACATTTATTGTCGACCTCTGTAACATTTATAGTCGACCTCTGTAACATTTATTGTCGACCTCTGTAACATTTATTGTCGACCTCTGTAACATTTATTGTCGACCTCTGTAACATTTATTGTCGACCTCTGTAACATTTATTGTCGGACTCTGTAACATTTATAGTCGACCTCTGTAACATTTATTGTCGACCTCTGTAACATTTATTGTCGACCTGTGTAACATTTATTGTCGACCTCTGTAACATTTATTGTCGACCTCTGTAATATTTATTGTCGACCTCTGTAACATTTATTGTCGATTTCTGTAACATTTATTGTCGACCTCTGTAATATTTATTGTCGACCTCTGTAATATTTATTGTCGACCTCTGTAATATTTATTGTCGACCTCTGTAACATTTATTGTCGATTTCTGTAACATTTATTGTCGACATCTGTAATATTTATTGTCGACCTCTGTAATATTTATTGTCGACCTCTGTAATATTTATTGTCGACCTCTGTAACATTTATTGTCGACCTCTGTAACATTTATTGTCGACCTCTTTAACATTTATTGTCGACCTCTGTAACATTTATTGTCGACCTCTGTAATATTTATTGTCGACCTCTGTAACATTTATTGTCGATTTCTGTAACATTTATTGTCGACCTCTGTAATATTTATTGTCGACCTCTGTAATATTTATTGTCGACCTCTGTAACATTTATTGTCGACCTCTGTAACATTTATTGTCGACCTCTGTAACATTTATTGTCGAGCTCTGTAACATTTATTGTCGACCTCTGTAACATTTATTGTCGAGCTCTGTAACATTTATTGTCGAGCTCTGTAACATTTATAGTCGAGCTCTGTAACATTTATTGTCGACCTCTGTAACATTTATTGTCGACCTCTGTAACATTTATTGTCGATCTATGTTAGACCATGGACATGCTAAGTCTAGAACACGCACACGTCTAACCGCTACCCTACTATTCTGTTAAAGTTCATATCATCAACACTTGCCAGGGTTCCAGTGCCGTAGTGGGCGGTTCTGGAAAAAAACAAAAAACAGAGACCGTTCTCGAGGCCATAAAACAGTGGTAAGAGAGTCGCACTGTGGGAGAAGTCGGGTCCAGAACAACGTCATAATCCCAAAGTTAGTAAGTACATTGCGCCACCCCCATTGTGGAGAATTCACAGTTTAATTGTACTTAATGCTCACATGGGAGTCGCTGTGGTGTAGTGGCTAGACGCTAGCCTGCGGATCTGAAGATCGTGGGTTCAAATCCGAACGGTGCTTGAATCCCCCCCCCCCCTAAAAAAAAAATGACCTAGGCTTCATAGTCTACTTAGCCTTAAATTGGTACCAGGTAAAGTATTGGGAAGTCAAGGATGTCGGATTGATGTTGACCACATTACCCATCTAGTTATGATTCTCTTTAAAAAATGTTCTAGCCCTATATACCCAGTCACGCCTAAAGATGTTGAAAAGGATTGTTTACAAATGCTCTTGTATTTTCCCTCATTTTGAAACAGAAGTTCTGCAACGAGTCCCGGGCCACCTTCGGGATGGTAGTCACCGCCCTCTGCTCCTTCATCATCAACATCCCTCACTTCGCCTCGTTTACCCCAATCTATCAGGGCCATGGCGAAGGCGACAACAACAGTACTGAAGTCACAGCTCCGGGTGCGGCATTCGCTCCCACAACCTTCACCACAGGGCCGGGTGGACAGGCTTACGAGTTCTGGGTTCACTGCATCTTTATTATCCTGGGTCCGTGGGTGACGATCTTCTTCATGAATATTATGATTATTACCAAGGTAGGGCTTTCTCAGATATCATCATTGTTTTCGTCATCATTATCATCGTTATCATCGTAATCATAACCAGGTTTGACAGTGTGATCATCATCGTAATCGTAACGACATTCAGCAAGACAATAGTCACCATCATCTTAACCATCATCATCCTCATCAACACCATCATCATCATCATCATCATCACCATCATTACCATCATTATCATCACCTTCATCATCACTATCATCACCACTATTCTCACCGTCATCATCATCGTAATCATCACCACTAACACCACCACCATTATCATCAGTATCCTCATCATTACCGTCATCAAAACCACTACCGTTAACACCACTACCCCAATAATCGTTACCGTCGTATCATCATCATCGTCATCCCTGTTATCATTATCATCATCAGGATCGCTAAAGTCACATTCTAGTCGAGAGGATCGATTTCATTGCACCAGATTTCACCCACAGTGCTCAGTCTCTCTCGGCAGAACGGTGATCCGTCATTAAGGGATGTCAGAAATCTTCTTCTTAGCGTTCACCGGCTGTCAACTAAGGCAGAACGTTCTGGTTGTTAGTCCACTTCTGGACTTTTGTCTTGCTCCACAGCTTAAGGTTTTCATGCATATCCATTTTACAGATCACCTTTTCTTATGCAGGCTGTTGGTTTGTTGGTTCCTTGCCTCTCTGGCAGAGAGACATTATTATCTATCATGGAAATATGGGCAGGTCGACCCAGCCTAAAATGGGTACCAGGATGGCTATGCTGGGGAAGTAAAGACAGCCGGCGTAATGCTGACCACATTACCCACCTAGTGCCGACGGTCTGTAAAAATATGGGCGCTTTTCCCGATACTCCTAAAAAGCGTGAAAAGGGATCTTTACTTTACTCGATGAGAAATGCTAAAGAAGGATTTTCAGAATAACAAAGACAAAGAAGAAAAGAATTACTGACATACTAAAAGACCTAGACGTCAAGTAAGGTAGGCTAATAAACCGCATCTTACATTGAAAGCTAAAGTATGTTAGCCATATCAAGCGTCACGCTATGAAGAAGGGGAAGGGGCAGACTAACACGAATATAGGCACCGGATGTAGGTGAGTCCTTGGATATGAAAATGCAGGAGGCGGGAGAGATGACGAGAGTTAATAGCGGAACTTTTACAGGACGTTACAGAACTGATCCCAAAGTTTGTTGCGTGGCAAGTTAACTTTAAGTAGTTAGCCACTGTTCACTGACGGCCGGCTATGGAAGCCAACGTCGAAATCTTCTTCTTCTTTTTCTTCATACTTTACTGTTCGCCGGTTTTAAACGCCGGCGAAAAGTTCTGGTTGTTCGTCCATTTTGGGACATTAGGCTTCAGAATTTAGGTTTACTTGCACATCCGTTTTACATATCTCTCTTATATGTGTGCAGACGGTTGTTGTTCTTCGGTGGATGCATTCCCAATGAAGGAAACACCCCTATTAATCGCTTTTTAACGACATATTTGGTAGGGGAAAAGGGGGTGGGGGCGACGATATGTAAATTATTTTTTTCCTATACTAGTGCCTCGGAACCAACAGGGGCTACTGTCCAGATTATCGCAAAGCGGTCAGCAGTAAAATCCCCCACAGCTGGAATAAAACTGGGTACCCAAAAATTACGAAGCACATTGACAATGCCTATGCCTCAGAGGCTGATGAACGGAAAGACTCAATGAAGATATGAGGAGATATCAAACCAGACGACAAGCAGAACCAGGCAGATTTACGGTTTCACAAAGACAGACGAAAACTGAACGTTGTGGCTATAGAGCCTTCATTAGGGCATTACATAAATCGACAGTACTGCGAAAAAGAATGCACACAATCACATAGCTAATGTATTTCTGATAGAAATCACATTCTGAATTGCCAGTAGAGACAGCACGTGTGTTGCCACCAGGCAAACGTGTCGCCAGTGTCGTAACTCAAAGCAAAAGTTGAACGAACAACAATCTCGTAGAGTGTACTAGCAGGTCAAGAAGTGGAACATGATAGAAGCTCATCGCAGCCAACCTTCATTGGGGAGACGGCAGCTGGGCTATAAGAATCAGTCATTACTGAAACTCTATCTGAGCTAGGCAGTTGTTAGTCTCATGTAACAGCTGTTTGGGACAGATAGAGTTCAGGTAAGCGCCTCATCATCCGCCTCAATGATAGAAGAGTCTGCTGCACAGACAAGACTAACCGATCACTACAAAAATTGTCGTCGAGACTAACCAAAGAAACATTTTGTTTTAACGCAAGTAAGGTTCTCGTACATTGTTCTTCCACCTTGTTTCCCAACACTTGCGGACCTGGAAAAGGGAACACATATTTTGCGGACTAGTCAGCTTATGCTGTATATAGGTTAGAAAATTCAATATACTTGACTGGAGCGTTGTTTCTGAGAGACAAAGCGCTGCAATAACTTTATTTGAATTTCTCCGTCTCATTTCTCTTGTAGTCGCTACACGATTATGCAGACATTTTAGGATTTGGGTGAAGCACCGTCTGAATAGCGTGTCTTTAGTATACACAGATTGTGGCTCTCGGTCGGTGACTCGTGTTCGTGTACTGTGGGGATATTCTGCTTTTGCTGCGTGTAAGAGGACTTATGGACGGTTGGCGTCCTTTAAATCATTTTCCACCATATGCTAGTCTATTGGGGAATGAACAGGCAGAAAGACTTTCTGCCTCATCTGGTGGTGAACTGATACACGATAATCTAGATGTGATCAGGTGAGCAATACAGAAGCACAAATATACCATCATGATCTGACGAGAACGGTGCAGTAGAGCCTAACCTGGAGTTCAGATACTGGACACTCGGAGGACAAGCAAGACGGACAGACTATCATGTTGCTACTGATACTATCTGGATGAGAACTCAGCACTGCCTGCTGAAGACAGAAACATGGTGCTTATCGTCAATCTCAGTTGACGCCCAGTGATTTACTGGAGTCACAGGCTGTCATTGAAGTCACTGGGTGTCAGTTGCGTCACAGGAGGTAATGCCACCGATGGGGAAGCACATCATCATCAAGTGCCTTGCAGACTATCGTGGGCGATCATGCTTCTCCACAATCTGCGATCTGCAACTGCGTGTATGAGTTCGTGTGTTGACACCCCTCCATGCCATGACAAAAGACTAACAAGAATCTTTTCACCATGTCTTTCTTTTTTTTTTTTTTTTTCTACAGATCTTTCCAGTGGTCATAACATGTTCCAATTTCCCTGTTCTCATAACATGACCCCCCCCCCCCCCCCAGATGATGACTGTCTCTTTCTGATGTTTGCGGTAAGTTGTCTTCAAGCGTTTGCCCCTTGAAAAATATCTGGGTCGCTCTTCTTAGCTGTCCAAGGGATTCTGAGGACTCTTCTGTAAAACCACATCTTCGAGGCCTCAAGATATTGTTCGGCTTGTTTATTAATTGTCCAGGCTTCACAGCCGTATGTTAAAACCAGCTCTATATAACTTACGAAAAATGTTGTCCAAACCTCCAATGGCATGGATTTGTCGCACAACATGTTCTTTATTTTGTAAAATGCAGTTTTGGCTTGTCAAGTTATATTCTTGATCTCTGTAATACATCTTCCATCGGATGTTATTCATGTGCCTAGATACTTACATTTTTCTACTGGTCCTAAAATAACACATGGAATGAACAAAAGAGAAGGAATTAATCAGATGTGTGTTTATATACAGCTGAGCCAAGCCAACAAGCGGATGGCAGACAAGAAAACCAGTCATTCCTTGAAGAAATCCAAGGAGTCCGAGAACCAGATCACTCGTCTGCTTCTCACCGTGACCTTCACCTTCCTCATCTTCATGGGACTGACATGCGTTGTCCAGTGCCTAATTACCAATACGCCACCCGGGGTATGAATTTCAATAAAATATGTATTCATCATCATCTTCATTATCATCATCATCTTCTTCATCATCATGAACTACCATTGCCGTTTAGCGAAGTAAGACAAGGATCCTATTCCACGCCTTAGGTGTATTAAGCGCTTGGGAAGGAGTGGTTTGTGATCTAGTGCACGCTGGCTGTCACCAGCTACGGTCAAACCGGGAGGGGGGGGGGGTGATTAAATTACCAGAGTAACATTATTAGATTCAATTTAAAATGTAGAATTTCGAAAAGTTTGAACAGCTGTAGAACAGATTACATTATTTTGGGCATCTCAGGGAAATGCCCTTACTCCGACTGAGACAAAGATCCGCGCAGAAGAATTATAATAAACACAAAGCGAGTGGAAGACCACGAAAACTATGGAATGACGGAATCAAGAACAGCCTTAAAGAAATGAAGATCAATGTATTCAACGGACCAGGAAAAGCAGATAGAAGATCCGTACATCTGCCCCAATACTTTGACGAGCTGTTGGAAGAGAAGGCGAAAACAAAAAGTGGAACGTGTGTTTTACGTATACATCATCATCATATAGCAGGGTCTTTGCAGAACGTTTCTCTCATCACTGTCTGCCTAAAAGAGACTCTGCAGAGCTATAGGTCGCAACGACAAGTGATAGAGAGATAAAATAGAGGTAATAGATGTAATTGACTTCTGGTCCAATACCGCGGATAGGCAGGCCAACGTTTTTAGCAATTTATTTGCTTCTAACTGCTCTAGCTGTTACACTTCCATATATGGAGGGAGAAGTATCTAGTCCCGTTGTCCAGCTACGTAACCGAGTGCATGGTGTGACACTGTGAGCTGTACATGTCCTGTGGAATGTGAGTGACCATGTCTGACACTTGTTGCATAGAGTGAGAACACATTTTCATGTACTGCCTGTTGTAATTTTAGTTGAGTTGAGTTGATTCAAGAACCGACATCACGGCACTCGGGGCATTCCGTCCTTATCTTCACCAGCCAACGAAAAGTTCCGATACTGATGGTGCCAGTAGCATTCTGATTAAACATCCGTCGTGCCTTTCCTCTGAGCCTCAAGCATCTGCCAGAACCTCTCGTCACTTCCCGCTGCATCAATCTCACCAGACTGTGGTGATCCATCTGCTTTTCAGAACTGTACGCGCTCTCCCACAAGGCACTAACCACGTCTGCCTCATCATGTATCAGTATTCCACTAAGTTGTGCAGAACCGGCCAATCTTTCCACCTGTTCATTTCCCAACACACCAGTAAAAATACAGACAATACTCCTCACCCGTGTCTCCGCAGTGAAGCATGCCACTTGGTCTGTTGTCAGTGACCATGTTCTTGCACTTGTAGCATAGAGAGAACGTCAATTTTCTTGTATTGTCTTTTCTGAGTGACCATGTTATGGCACTTATAGCATAGAGTGAACGTCAATTTTCTTGTATTGTCTGTTGTGAGTGACCATGGTATGGCACTTGTAGCATGGAATAAGCGTCAATTTTCTTGTATTGTCTGTTGTGAGTGACTATGTTCTGGCACTTGTAGCATAGAGCATTAATTTTCTTGTATTGTCTGTTGTAAGTGACCATGTTCTGGCATTTTAGCATAGGTGAGCGTCAATTTTCTTGTATTGTCTGTTGTGAGTGACCATGTTCTGGTAGTTGTAGCATAGAGTGAACGTCAACTTTCTTGTATTGTCTGTTGTGAGTGACCATGTTCTTGCACATGTAGCACTTTTAGCATAAATTGGGAGCGAATATAAATTGTATGAAATGTTTCTTTGTGCTGACAAGTGACTTTAATGATTTTAACTCACCCTCAGGCGGACGTTCTGGCGCTCTCTGCCTCCTTGTCCTTCAGCGTCACCGGGGTTTTGCTGAACTCATCCTTGAACTTTCTCCTCTACTGCATGTCCGGCAGACGATTTCGAATGGAGCTTCTCAAGATGTTTGGGCTGGTCAGTGTCGACTCGCAGTCGTCCAGCAATACTGACACCACCTCTAGCAACATCTCCACCAAGCCAGTGTCAACGATCTCTACTCAGTTTACAAGCAAAGACGTCTAAGTTGTTCCGTTTTTTTTAAAGTCAGGTTTTGTACACATTTTAAGTCATAAGTGAACCAGTTTAATGCCAAGATATGAGTGAGTTTAAAGACACTTTATGGCAGTGTTGAATCTAAGTTACTTTTTTAAAGCAACTTATTAATTGACGTGTTTAAAGCCGTGTTATAAATTTGTTTGAAACCAACCAATTAATTAGTGTGTTTAAAGCTCAGTTATGTACGTGTTTTGAGCTAAGTTACCATTTTAAAAGCCAACCAATGACCTTTAGAAGCCAGGCAATTACCCTGTTTTAAACCAATTTATAACCATGTTACAAAATATAAGATGAACTTGTTTAAAGTCACACTATAAATGTGTTCAAAGCCCAGTCCAGAAGGTGTATAAAGCCAAGTTCTGAAGTTTTTTGAAGGTGTTTAAAACCATGTTTTTAGGGTGTTTAAATCTAAGTGTTAAATATGTTTTAAGCCAAGATCTAAAGATGTTTAACGCTAGGTTTTAAAAGTTGTTTAAATCTACATGTTAACGATGGTTACAGCTAAGATGTTAAGGTGTTTCAAGCCAAGTTTTAAAGGTGTTTAAATCTAAATATCAAAGGATTTAAAGCTAAGATCTGAAGGTGTTCAAAGACAGCCATGGACATGTCTAAAGACATATTAGCCAAGGTAAGATCAGCATGAAGGCATCTTGTTCATTTATACCGTATCATGTGTGTGGTCCTAACTAGTATCAGAATGTAAAAAAAGTATTTTATTTTTCAAAATCAAAGGCAGAAAAGAAGAAAGAGGAGAGGGAGGAGGAAAAAGTAGAGTCTAAACAGTAGTAAAGAGTTGAACGCTTTCGTGCACTGAGGCGTGGATTATCAAGTCTGTGTTTGTGTCGTTGCAAACCAAACTTCTGGACATATAGACGAAACCATGGACCTCACTGTAGAGATTGAGCAAATACGATTGGCCTTCCAGACAACTTCCCCAACATTAGTCATCACGAGTCATGTCTTCCATGCAACAGATCTGTTCCTGTGGGTCGCTGTTTGATCTAGTCTTTTGGTGTTTGTTATTCGTCCATCACGAGTGATTAAGACCCACTTTCATCTAAAGTAGCGAATGAACAAGCAGTGATCAATGATTATAAGTACGAAGGTGGCTGATTAGTACAATATGAACTCAGAAAGTACTTGAGCAGTGTGGACAAGTGAAAGCCGCAGTAAGTGTGCGATTAGCAATCCCGTTTTTTCTAGTCTGCCTTCGTTTCTCTGCCTGGGCAACTCCCACTGCCTGGCAGGCTGATGCGCCATGCCTAAGGGATGTACGCCATCCTGATGGGTCTTGTGCAGGACGTCGCCGTGCTGATGCCAAAAGAATTGAGAGCAGTCTTGAGAGTATCTTTATAGCAATTTTTCTGTCCTCCCTGGCACCTCTTCCCTTGCTGGAACTCCCCATAAAATATTCTCTTTGGGAGGCGATACTCTGGCATGCGGGTTAGGTGACCAGCCCAACTCAGCTGACATTTACTGAGTATCGTGTGTATGCTAGGCAGGTTTGCCCTATCAAAAGCCACAGTATTTGGTTTTCTTATCTTGCCATTTGATTTTGAGCAGCTTTCTGAGACGGGTTATATGAAAATGATTCAACTTTTTAGCATGGCGCTGATACACAGTCCATGTTTCGCAAGCGTAGAGAAGCACTGGAATAATTACAGCTTTGTAGAAATTTAGTTAGTTCAGCAAAATTAAAAAACAAGCTTGGTATACGAGATATTTTGGACAATCTTACTAATATTATGCGATGTTAATGACAGTGGGTGCCTTCTTAGAAATCTAAGGCTGGCATGGAGTTCAGCCCAACTTCTCGTAAAATGTTCTTTTAAATGTTTCCCTTAGACGTCCTCTTTTTCTCAGACCGTTGTTTCCCATTTTAGAGCTAGCTTTGTAGATCTTTGCTCATTTCGTCTCAGAGTGTGCCCAATATATCTCCAACTTCTTTGTCTTAGTGCAGTCGACACAAGTATTGTCCAGACCATTTCTCCGAAATACATCTTCACTCTTTTTTAATTCATCCCATTTTATGTTCATAATTTTTCTCAGACATTTCTTTTTTAATGCATTGCACTTCAGTTACATATCTTTGGTGGTTATCCAACTTTCGCTGGCATATTGTAGCGTATGTTAGAATTGAAATAACTTTAGAACTGAACATTCGTAGTTTGGTCTTAAAGCTGTATAGCTCATAGCTCAATTTGTTGTTGATGCTTTTAAAGACTGTTGTTGCTTTGCCTATGTGTATCCTAATTTCTTCCTCAGAAAGTCTATGTCGTGTGGCGCTGGTAGTCATATCTATCCATAATCTTCTGCCTCGTTTACTTTCAATCAACTCTGACATAAATGATCCGCCATGCCATGATGTCAAACTATCCAGTATCTGTTCTCTCGGTCTCCCTCTGTCTCTCCTCCCCTCCAACTTTCCTACCGTGTACTACATGTACTCCAGTTTTCTCCTTCTCAACATAATTTAGCCTATAAGTTACCCCATGAAGATCCCTATTTTATACATATAATCTTAGTAGCTGCTCTGTTTTAAATCAAGAAGTTATTAGGTAAGTCGGTTCTGTAAGGACGGTTGGCCGCAGTGAAACCAATGCTGTCTTTGCAAACATACACGAGGTCCACAGTGAGACTTTCAGAAAACAGGGAAGCGGTTTTTTGAATAAACCTTCCGCTACAGAAAGTAGTTGAAGATCAGGAAATGATCAAACCTAGCTGAAAGCCACAACTGTTAATAAGCTTATGATGTTTAGCGTAATTTTGATGTCTTTGCAAAATAAAAGAACTCAGTTCTTGTTTTCTGTTCATTACTCTATGCTGTAATTTCTCAATGTGTTCTGCTACACACTGAGTTCAGTTGAGCTGAGTTAAGAATTGACATCACAGCACTCGGGGCATTCCCATACACGCTCCGTCCCCATCCTCAGCAGCCAGGGCAGAGTTCCTGTCAATTTCTTGATGTCATTACAGGTTCTTCTTTGCCCTCCTCTTCTTCGACTACCCCCCAATGTTCCTTGGAGTACAGTCTTTGCAATCGAATCATGTCTCACCACGTGCCCAAACCAAGCTAGTTTGCGACGTTTCACCACTGCCGAGAGAGGCTCCTGATGTCCCGTAAATATTTATATTTTGTCTCTGACATATTTATTAGTTTTGTGTTCTAAATAACTAATAAATATATCAGAGACAAAATATACAAATTGGTTGAAGAATTATATATATATATAAAGAATTGCAGTGGACAAAGACAGGCTGGATGTTTATTTCTGCTTTGTATAGAGGAGATGTGTCACATAAGATTAGTCTCGGGATCTAATCAAAAACTCGGCAGAAGTAGGAGGAAACGATTCAAAAATTATTAAAGTGAAAGTATACAAAAATCTATATTATATTCCATCTTACGGTAAGTTTTGTCTAATTTCGAAAAAGACCATTTTTTTAATGGTTTATTATTGTTTATTTTTTTTTTAAAGATATGTATGGGAGCACATGTGCCGTCTTTAAGACATGGGGGCCGGCTCTGGACTTGTCCTGAGGCCCCATGAGTATAACGGCCCCCACGTTAATCTGTATGTCAAGTAACAATTTACATTTCATTTCTGAGAGTAGTGTTCGTAGGGGCCCTAGCACTCTGTTTGCCCAGGGGCCCCTAATGCCGTCAAGATGTCTTTGGCGGCAGGGGAAGGGGCAAAATTTCTCAAGTGCTGAAGGTCGCGGGGGGGGGGGGGGGGGGGAGGAGAATTTTAATCCGCCTCTGAATATATATGTACACATATATGTGTGTGTGTATATATATATATATATATATATATATATATATATATAGACACATACATATTATATAGACACATACATTTACATATATAAAACGTTCTGACATGATGCCTCACTAATATATTTCCGAAGCAATTTGTAACAAAGAGAAAATCCACAAGCTCATTACATTTTATTTTATTATATTGGTTTTTTGCTTTGTTTTGTTACATTGTGTAATACTTTGTTACAAAGGACTGGCTCAACGCAGCTGGAGCAACAGATGTAACAGACAGACCAACTGGCAAATCTCATCATGGCAGCCAGGAGATGACTTTGACAGCCTTTCTGGCAGCTTGAGCAACCATTCCAACATGGTCTGTCTCGTGCCTGCGGATCTGGAAACGTTGTTTAAAAAAGGAAACTATATGTATTGTTTCTGTTATTTCTAATATCAGTTTGTGGGATTAAGATAAAGAAAAAAGAAATTGGGAATACTCGAGGATCATTCACATTTTCAGGATCAGAGGCTCCATAAGTTTTCTCACATGCGCTAAAGAGAAGAAACGTCCTATTATTATTATTATTATTATTATTATTATTATTATTATTATTATTATTATTATTATTATTATTATTATTATTATTATTATTATTATTATTGAAATCAGTCATCACTATCATCATGTAGCAGGTCCTTTGCAGAACGTCGCTCTCATCACGGTGTGCCTGAAAGAAACTCAGTCTCTCGCCAGGTCTCCCGCCTCATATACTTTCAAACTCAAAGAGTCACTTATATCCTTATATCTTCGTGTTGCCCCTTCTTCCTGGTACCATGCCTTCTGCTATTATTTTTTTCCAATCCGTCGTGGCGCTTGATATGACCAAAATATTTTAACTTCTGAGACAGGATGCTGTTTATTAGCCAATCTTCCTTGATGTTCAGATCTTTCAAGATGTCAGCAGTGAAGGGGTAAAAACCTACAGCTGTAGAAATTCAAAGGCGATGAGGGATCAGTATGGTGCAGCTTGTCTGTCCGTCCAGCAAGGGAAGGGGTGGAGTAAGTAAAGTAAAGGACCTTTTTCCACACTTTCAGGCGAGTTGGGCATATAGGGCTAGACCTATATTTTACAGACCAATCGGCACTTGGTGGGTGATGTGATCAACATCATGCCGGCCATCTTTACTTCCCAGGACTGCGTCTGGTACTCACTCAAGGCTGGGTCGACATGAGAGCCAATGTCCTTTTTGAAGAAAGCCCGGTTCCATCAGGATCTGAACCCACGACCTTCCGATCTGCATGCGAGTCTCTAGCTGCTACACCACGGGGACTAGGAGTGGAGTAGGAAGCGTCAGAGCGGCGTGACTTCTGTCAGAGTGAGCCTCACCCTGTCCTGTACTTGATAATAACGATGATAATTATGACGATGATTATGAATATTGGGCTTAGTGATCTCAAAGCATGGCGTCCGCATAGAGTGCTAGAGGTCCTGGTGAAGGCTGGGATTGTTTCACGTGGACTTCAAGTAATTTTCCCTCGTCTCTGGGTAGTAAGACCGGGCGCCCTTGTGTATTGCTGCGCAAGTAAAAAAAAAAATCCTTTGGCAGTTAGAAATCGAAAACAGTAGCCTAACGCCCCCCCCCCCCCCCCCCGGGCAAAATTGTGAGTTTAATAAACACTCAAAGTATTTCAGGGTCCTCGCCGGTGCTACGGGGTTAGTGCACTGTGCTGAGATTCTTCGGAATCAGGTTTGAGTTAGAAGCAGAACGGAGCACTTATAGGTTACTGCCATTCTGCCACGATGCCGATCCGTTGAATAAACCAAACCAAACCAATGATGCTGATGATAATGATGATGAAGATGATGATGAAGAAGAAGATGATGATGATAATGGCGATGATGGTGATACAAATACCTTATCTACATGTTGCAGTAACACATGTCTTCCTTCTGGTGCCTCTGACAGGCAGGTCAAAGCCTGAAATTTCATATTTAAACATTTCATTACTGAACTAGGCAAATAATGGCGGCATAGGGAGACCGTAGCCACATGGGATAGCAGGTTAATGTGTAGTTGTAGTTTTGAAGTTAGTTACATATCCTTTACAAGACCGTAGCCACATGGGATAGCAGGTTAATGTGAAGTTGTAGTTTTGAAGTTAGTTACATATCCTTTACAAGACCGTAGCCACATGGGATAGCAGGTTAATGTGAAGTTGTAGTTTTGAAGTTAGTTATATATCCTTTACAAGTCCGTAGCCACATGGGATAGCAGGTTAATGTGTAGTTGTAGTTTTGAAGTTAGTTACATATCCTTTACAAGGTCGCTGTTTGGTGATGTGCTCAGCATCACACTAGCCACCTTAACTTCCCAAGACTTTACAGTGACCCATTTAAGGCTGGGTCAGCCTGAAAGCCAAGGTTGTTTTCTTTTTTTAACCGACACCGTCAGAATCCGAACCCACGACGTTCCGATCCGTAAGCGAGCATCTAGCCACTACACCACGGCAGCTCCCACTTACAATCATAGCATTTAATATATACATATATTGTATTTTCAATGATTATACCTTTGTAAAAAGCTTCGTAATGCCGGGATGCCGGGTTCGATCCCAGCTGCAGGGCATGCGTCTTGCGTTGGTTTCGACAGTGGTATTAAGAAAGCCGACCGTCTAGAAGTAATGGCAAACTACTGGATGTAAATTTGCCTAGAAAAATCACACAGCAGCCACGGGCTGTTGGGGTTGGTTCTGCAGCGTCCTGTAAAGGATACGCAACTAACCTTATATAATAGTAATAAATAAAATTACAAGTAAATGACCATTTTTCACACCTTTCAGACATATTGGGTATATAGGGCTAGACATGTATTTTATAGACCAAACAGTACCTGGTGGGTGATGTGGTCAGCATAACACCGGCCGCTTTTACTTCCCAGGACTGCACCTAATACACATTCTAGGCTGGGTCGACCTGGCAGCCAAGATCATTGCCCTAGTCAGGAACCGAACCCACTAGCCGCTAGACCATCAGGGCTCCCAGTAATAAACAATAAAAATTATGACTATTATTATTAGTAGGCACTTAAACACGGTTTCAGCTGATTGTATACATCTGACACATAGAAATGACCAGGAGTAACCTCCCCCAATGGTTTGTATCTACGCCCTTATTTTTTTAAATTTTCTTTGTACTTCGTTGATAAAGATGTTCATGGAAACGGTCAGAAGTATTCTTCAATACTTCAGGGAGTCTGCAGTATAATAGTCAAGCCGTCTGCTGAAGATCTTGGGTTCGTTTCAAGGACGCGGTTTGGTCACGAGTGAAATATTTATCGATATTCCTGTGGAAATCGTCGCCGGAACTATCGAGTTCGTGCTTTGTGCGTTGCACTCGGCACACGGCTAACCGTTCCGCGGTGAGAGACTGAACCAAAGCAAATTAGTCGATCTTCTTGAACGTTTACTGTAAATTACTTCAAAAGACATGACCTACCTTGATAGCGTTGAGCCTGACCTCGCTGTTGAGGTCGTCCACAAGATCCACCAGCGGAAGGATCGACAAGGAATGAATGGCTGTATACTTTCCTTTAGTGGTGATGGCAATCCTAAGAAATATTAAAGAGCTGTATGCGAAATGGCAAACTACTGATCGCAATATGCCTAGTAAAATCATGAAAACCCAAAACAATGGGGGCTGGTTATATAACGATCTATAAACGTTACAACCAACCAGAAAATCGAAGTGAGTCTCTGGAGATGGGGGTATAGGTTAGTTTCGAATCTTTTACAGGACGCTGCAGAACCAACCCCAACAGCTCCTGGCGGCTGTGTGGTTTTTCTAGGCAAATTTACGTCCAGTAGTTTGCCATAGCTTACTAGACGGTCGGCTTTCTTGATACCACTGTCAAAACCAACGCTTGTCGCATGGCGCGCAGCTGGGATCGAACCCGGCATCTCAGCATTATGAAGCGTTCGCATCGACTTAGCCATAGAGCCGACAGATGGGGGTATACAGAAGAAGATTTCATGAAAACAAAAACAGTCCAATACAGATGTTTTGGAAAGGCTACAAATTAAAAAAAGAATGGGGGGAAAAGTCAAAGGCAAGACAACAAGAGGTGAGCAACGAGACAAGTGGGAGGACAACATCAAGAGATGGACGGTTAGCCGTTTTAGAGAGTGTACAACTAGGACAAGAGACAGAGCGTGTTTAAGATCCATTACAGCCAACCCTTGTTGTGGAGACGGCACCTGATTGATTGAAAGGATACACGACTGGTTATAAAAATGATTTAAGAGTCGTACTCAGAATGAAATGACAAACTATTCAAAGTAAACATTGCCGAAAACAACAACACAAATAGCACACAAATGCTGAGCCTGCTTGGGGAAGTCGTGAAGAGGACACGCAACCTACTTTTCTAACTGCTGATGACTTTTTTTCAGAGATCTTCTTCTTGTGGCCGCGGATATGTGGTTTTACGGATGAATCCTTAGAATTTATTGGATAGCCAAAAAGAGCAACCCAGTTGTACGGAAAGAGGTGAAGTCTCGAAGACAACTTGGTAGATACAATTTAAATGATACCATGTTAAATGTAGCTGTGAAGCTGCTTATGTGGGCAAAATGGATCGACGACCGGAGAAACGAGTCGCTGAGCACATTCCATTATGGGTGGGAAAAGCCATGCAAAATAATATTCAAAATGAGAATACTGGCCGTAAAAATCATCCCTCCGCAATAACACGCCATTTTCTAAAATCTGAACACGTGGTAACTAAGGACAACGCATTTGAAATCCTTCATACATCAACCAATGACAGAAGGCTAAGATTTCTCGAAGCTTCCGCGATTCGTCACCTGCGCCCGGAACTCTGTATTCAGAAAGAGATGGTTCTGTCTTTACAGCTGCCCTGGTTAAAAACAGGCAGTTATGTTTGATCGTTGTTGAAATTTTACTTCAGTTATTAAGGATTCACTTATTTGCTTCATTTATGTAATTGTTTCTGTAGTATGCACCTGACGAGATACAGTGAAATATGACAGGCAATAAATTGTGCAATCTATTGTTTGTGTCTTCTTTGTTCAAATTTGCAGCGGGGAAACATTGCTTTGGTTCAATGAAGAATATTATGATTTTAAGTTCAGGTCTTTCACTTTGAAACAGTAGATTCAACCATCAGTGTGGTTGACAGCTGATCAAAGAGGTGACTCTGGCAGGCAAACAGTCAAATCATATTGCAGCGAGCTTTGTCCCAGACAAATCGGTACTACCTTTCCTATGGAGTAAACAAAGAAGGTTGAGAGAGGGATCAGGCTGCATGAGCAGTACAAAGTCTTATCAAATCGGCACATGATTAATGCTATGGAGTAGAGAACCTTCTGGTCACTGACTCTGATTCCTATATCTCTTACACCAATCAACGGATCCTTTACAGAACGTCGCTCTCTTCAAGTCCCGCCTGAAAATCTCTCTTTCTATAGACAGTTCTTCAGCCCTATGTACTTTCAGAGTCAATGCATCTTTATTGTCGTATATATTTTCCGCAAACTGTCCCCCTATCATCGTGTTGCAGGCTACAATAACGTTTAACATGGCCATTATGGGTCAGCTTTCAGGACAGGGTGTTCCAAGCAACAACAAAAAAAAAACACACACACATTTTCAGCAGTTGATTCACCAATAATACGGAAAAGATGCAAACAGCGGGGAATGGAGAGTGAGAAGCAACAACGAAATTCATAAACTGTTTAATTGACAATTGATCACTGGCATCATGAGAGCTAATAGATTGAAATGGTTGGGGCATATTGAAAGAATGTCAGATGACAGAGAAGTAAAACATGTGTACACAAGGGAGACCAAGAAGACGATGGAGGTGTAATATTCAGAGAGACCTGCAAAAACTTGGTGTCACCAACTGGAAAGAGAAGGCCAGTCAGAGAGATGAATAGAGGCGGGTGATAACTGCAGCAGTGAAACTCAAGGGCTCGGAATGCTGAAGAGGAAGATGATAAATTGAGAATACATACAAGAATAAGAAGATCCTGGCGTAGTTACTAAATGACTATTCTTACATCATAATGGCTGCTGTTGCCTTTGCTCTCACTTCTGATGACGAGTCTGTCAACATGTTCTTCAGTAGCTGAAGAGCTCCACAAGCCACGGCCCGGTCCTTACCCGCCAGCGGCACGCTAGATCAGAAAACATCTTTGTTGTACAAACTTTATTATTTAAAGCAGCCGCCTTGATGTAGTGGCTAGGCCGTCGCGTGCGGATCGGAAGATTCTGGGTTCAGGTCTTTGTGGTGCCTGACCTTTTCGCCCCAACAATGACCTTGGCTTCGATGTCGACCAGCCTTGAACACGATCCTGGGAAGTAAAGGCGGCTGGCGTAATGCTGACCACGTGTTCCACCGAGTGCCGATTAGTCAATAGAATAAAGGTCTAGCCCTAAATGCCCGATACGCCTAATGTGTAAAAAAGGTCCTTGATCAGTCAAAAATGTTACAAATTGTCAGTCAAAGGATTTTACAAATTGTCAGTCAAAGGATGTTACAAAATGACAGTCAAATGATGTTACAAATTGAAAAAGGATATTACAAATTGAAAGTCAAAGGATGTTACAAATTGAGAGTCAAAGGATGTTACAAATTGACAGTCAAAGGATGTTACAAATTGTTAGTCAAATGATGTTACAAATTGTTAGTCATAGGATATTACAAAATGACAGTCAAAGGATGTTACAAATTTACAGTCAAAGGATATTACAAAATGACAGTCAAAGGATGTTACAAATTGTTAGTCAGAGGATTTTACACATTGACAGTCAAAGGATGTTACAAATCGACAGTCAAGGATGTTACAAATTGACAGTCAAAGGATATACAAACTAACAGTCAAAGGATGCTACAAATTTACAGTCAAAGGATGTTACAAAATGACAGTCAAAGGATAAACAAACTGTTAGTCAAAGGATGTTACAAATTGTTAGTCAAAGAATGTTACAAATTGCTAGTCAAAGGATGTTACAAATTGTTAGTCCTAGGATGTTACAAATTGTTACTCAAAGGATGTTACAAATTGTTAGTCCTAGGATGTTACAAATTGTTAGTCCTAGGATGTTACAAATTGTTACTCAAAGGGTTACTCAAAGGATGTTACAAATTGTTAGTCCTAGGATGTTACAAATTGTTACTCAAAGGATGTTACAAATTGTTAGTCAAAGGATGTTACAAATTGCTAGTCAAAGGATGTTTCGACTTGACAGTCAAAGGATGTTACAAATTGTTAGTCCTGGGATGTTACAAATTGTTACTCAAAGGATGTTACAAATTGTTAGTCAAAGGATGTTACAAATTCACAGTCAAAGGATGTTACAAATTGTTAGTCAAAGGATGTTACAAATTGACGGTCAAAGGATGTACCAACGGATAGTCAAAGGATGTTACAAATTGACAGTCAAAGGATGTAACAAACTGACAGTCAAAGGATGTTACAAATTATCAATCAAAAGATGTTACAAACTGATGGTCAAAGGATGTTACAAATAGACAGCAAAAATTCTTCAGTAACAATTACAGTACAACATCAATTCCTTATTAACCATTACAGTGCAACACATCAATTCTTTGTTAACCAATAACCATTACATTGATGTGGCTATAAACTACTCATTAACTGTAACCATAATTTTTACGATCCTGTGTTAATCACTAAAATGCTTAGGCTGAAATTCTCCACTAACCATCACAATACAACAATATTAGTTGTTTGTTCAACTGTGTCAGTCACATTACTATTGTGAAAACTGTAACCCTTAAACGCCTAATTCAACAATTCTATCTTGTTTATTAAAGTGCTATAATTTTCAAACTCTCTAACTCCAATTGTTCATTAACCGTTAAAAACATTACACAACTATTGTATCTTATCCATTACAAAGCTATGATTTAAATTCTTCATTAACTAATTAAAATGCTGTGAAGTCAGTTCTTTTTTTTAACTACATAAGCGTTGTGATGCAAGTTCTCTTTTTAACCACCCAAGTGCTGGGAATCCAGTGCTTTTTTACCCACCAAAGTGTTGTGATGCTGTTCCTTTTTTACCCACCAAAGTGTTGTGATGCTGTTCCTTTTTTACCCACCAAAGTGTTGTGATGCTGTTCCTTTATTACCCACCAAAGTGTTGTGATGCTGTTCATTTTTTACCACCAAAGTGTTGTGATGCTGTTCCTTTTTTACCACCAAAGTGTTGTGATGCTGTTCATTTTTTACCACCAAAGTTTTGTGATGCTGTTCCATTTTTACCACCAAAGTGTTGTGATGCTGTTCCTTTTTTACCCACCAAAGTGTTGTGATGCTGTTCCTTTTTTACCCACCAAAGTGTTGTGATGCTATTCCTTTTTTACCCACCAAAGTGTTGTGATGCTATTCCTTTTTTACCCACCAAAGTGTTGTGATGCTATTCCTTTTTTACCCACCAAAGTGTTGTGATGCTGTTCCTTTTTTACCACCAAAGTGTTGTGATGCTGTTACTTTTTTACCACCAAAGTGTTGTGATTCTGTCCCTTTATTACCACCAAAGTTTTGTGATGCTGTCCCTTTATTACCACCAAAGTTTTGTGATGCTGTCCCTTTATTACCACCAAAGTGTTGTGATACTGTTCCTTTTTTTTCAACCAAAGTTTTGTGATGCTGTTCCCTTTTTACCACCAAAGTGTTGTGATGTTGTGAAGTGTTGTTTACTGAACATACTTCTTCTTCTTCTTCGCGTTTACCAGCTGTAAACTGGTGGAAAGTTTTGGTTGTTCGTCCACTTCTGGACTGCAGTCCTGTTCCAAAACCTGAGCTTTGCGTGTGCATCCGTTTGACAGTCCTGAAACATTTGTGTGCAGACTTTTGGTTAACTGCCTCTCAGGCAGATGCACTCCGACTTCGAAGAAAGCTCCCAATTAGTCGACTCTTACGACATGCTTTTGTGTAGGCAGTGGGTCAATACTGCCCATTCTAGATCTCAGTATTATTTAAAAACATGCCCTTTTCACTCGCAGACAAAAGGCCAAATTTCACAAATGACATGCCAGATTGAAAGAGGTTGACACACACATATTAACATATCAAAGAGTGAACAATCATTTTCAAGCATAGATAATCGACATGAAATGACATTATCTGTTTCAAAGCAATGGATCGCTAATTGTTCCTCCCCATGGCGTTTAAGTGGACATTGATGATGATGTTGGTCTAACCTTAGGTCCATGATGTCACGTGCAGCCTTGGCCCTGATGACGGCCAGGTGATGTTTGAGAAGTGTGGTGAAAGCCTCCATAGCCCCGGCCTCCAGAGCTGACTGCGTGTCTATGCCCATGCAGTAGTGCAGGGTATCGAGTATGATCTCCTGTAAGCAAGCCACGTTAGGAACAGTTCAAGTAGACAGTGCAAGTAAGCAAGCCACGTTAGGCACAGTTCAAGTAGTGCAGGGTATCGAGTATGATCTCCTGTAAGCAAGCCACGTTAGGCACAGTTCAAGTAGTGCAGGGTATCGAGTATGATCTCCTGTAAGCAAGCCACGTTAGGCACAGTTCAAGTAGACAGTGTAAGCAAGCCACGTTAGGTACAGTTCAAGTAGTGCAGGGTATCGAGTATGATCTCCTGTAAGCAAGCCACGTTAGGCACAGTTCAAGTAGACAGTGTAAGCAAGCCACGTTAAGCACAGTTCAAGTAGTGCAGGGTATCGAGTATGATCTCCTGTAAGCAAGCCCCGTTAGGCACAGTTCAAGTAGACAGTGTAAGCAAGCCACGTTAGGCACAGTTCAAGTAGACAGTGTAAGCAAGCCACGTTAGGCACAGTTCAAGTAGTGCAGGGTATCGAGTATGATCTCCTGTAAGCAAGCCACGTTAGGCACAGTTCAAGTAGACAGTGTAAGCAAGCCACGTTAGGCACAGTTCAAGCAGACGGTGTAAGCAAGCCACGTTAGGCACAGCTCAGCTAGACACTGTAAGCAAGCCACGTTAGGCACAGTTCAACTAGACACACTAAGCAAGCCACGTTAGGCACAGTTCAAATAGACACTCTAAGCAAGCCACGTTAGGCACAGTTCAACTAGACACTGTAAGCAAGCCACGTTAGGCACAGTTCAAGCAGACACAGTAAGCAAGCCACGTTAGGCACAGTTCAAGCAGACACTGAAAGCAAGCCACGCTAGACACAGTTCAAGCAGACAGTGTAAGCAAGCCACGTTAGGCACAGTTCAAGCAGACACTGAAAGCAAGCCACGCTAGACACAGTTCAAGCAGACACTATAAGCAAGCCACGTTAGGCACAGTTCAAGCAGACACTAAGCAAGCTACGTTAAAAACAGTTCAAACAGACACTGTAAGCAAGCCACGTTAGGCACAGTTCAAGTAGACACTGTAAGTAGGCCATGTTAGGCACAGTTCAAGCAGACAGTCCAGTCTACATCAGTTGCTTCTTAACCTTCCTAATGCCGCGACCTTTTAATAAAGTTCCCTTATGTTGTGGCACCCCCCCCCCCCCCCCAAACAATTATTTTCCTTTATAACTTCAACGAATATGTGTTTTCCGATAATCTTAGGCGACCCCTGCGAAAGGGTCTTTTGACCCCCAAAAAAGGGGGGGGGGGAGCGACAGGCAGGTTGAAAACTGCTGGTCTGCATTCATTGATCGTTGCACGAGAAGGATAAAACTGGAGAATATCATGAAGGTTGGAAAGCTGAAGTTCTGTGTCAGAACTGATTAGTAGAACACGAACCAGGAGGTTGTAGAAACATATGTACCAAGGCCACACGACATGGATTATGAGAACAAGGCACGGAACAATGTATAATGACATCTTCTTCACTTCCTCTTTTACAGCCTCAGTGTCGATGGAGATATAAGGTTCTTTTTCTTGCTCTATTGCCGCCTTGACCATAGATATAACGTACTGTTGTTGAGTTTCTCTGATGTTATCTTTCCATCTTGTTCTTGGTCTACCTCGTGATCTACGTCCTACTCCTCTTTTACCGCGTACCATTTCATGGAAGTGTTCAGAGGAGACATAAGGTTCTTTCCAATCTACGAGTTGGTCTTCAGTATTTGAAGGCTGTTCTTAATGTCGTCGTCCCGTCGTCTGTATGGTCCCCGCACCCACCCCCCCCCCCCCCCCCCCACCCTCACCCCTTTCCTCCCAGTTGGCAGCTGTTACCAGGGCACTTTCGTCAGATGACCAAACTATCTTACGCATTGTTTTTTTAATAAACTATATGACTGATCTTAGCTGATTTCTTCTTCTAATGTTTTCATTTTTTTATGATATCACTTGTTATTACTCCGGCAGTTTATACTGGCAAGACATTTTCCCTGGCAGTACGCAACATACGGAAGATATAAAATGACAATAGTAAAGTAAAGTAAAGTAAAGGACCCTTTTCCATGACTTAAGGCGTATAGGGCATATAGGGCTAGACCTATATTTTTATAGACCAATCGGCACAAAATTGGTGATGTGGTCAGCATCACGCCGGCCGGATCTACGTCCCGGGACTGCACCCAGTACCCACTCAAGGCTTGGTGGACCTGGGAGCCATGGTAATTTTTGAAAAAAGTCCGGCGCCGCCAGGGAGCGAACCCACGACCTTCCGACCAGCACGCGAGCGTCTAGCCGCTCCGCCACAGGGACTCCCCAAAATGACAATAATTACCATCAAAACGGAAGTAACGCAGGTCAGCAGAATTAGTAGTCCGCTACGTATCGGGTTGAATGCTACTTGTCAGAAGCAAGTTACATAATGTAAATATCTAGGAAGAAAATTTTCAGAGGACGGGAGAATACATAGGGAACGTAAAACAAGTTGCTAACAAGCCAGTGCGCTTATACACCAACTGACACCATTATTAAGACATCCAAACATAAGTATGAATGCAAAGAAACAGATTATAAACAGTATATTCATACCTACACTGTGTCAGACATAGACAGTATCAAATGTTAAAAGTTAGTTGCGAATCCTTTACAGGACGTTGCAGAACCAACCCTAACAGCCCCTGGTTGTTGTGTGGTTTCTCTAGGCAATTTACATCCAGTAGTTTGCCATTGCCTCTGGACGGTCGGCTTTCTTGATACCACTGTCGAAACCAACGCAAGGCGCATGGCCCGCAGCTGGGATCGAACCTGGCATCCAGGCATTACGAAGCGAAGCGTTCGCATCGACTTAGCCTCAGAAAAATTAACACGTGTGATTTAAGATGCATGAGAAAAGCCGCCAACTTAACCATTCGAGATAAAGTTAGAAATGATATTATCAGACAAACTGTAGGAACAACACCCTGTAGCAAATTCATTGAGAAAGAGAAAATGGTTTGGTCATTAAGGAAGAATGTAGCCAGAACAACTACCAACGCAGGAGCTACACAGGAACAGATCTGAAGTTGAAGCCAGAAGCCGCCCTGGGTGTCCTAGATTGATCACATTAAGAGCTTTGTACGTCGACACGGAATGAATATAGCCAATGCTGCCCATCAAGCAGTGGATTGCAAACTGTTCCGCCCCTTAACGCTTGACAGCAGGAGTAGAAATTGATGATGATGACGCTAGGGTACGCAGTACATGCACCGTTTTAAGCATCATTCTGTTTCAGCGTTACTGTAAGAGTTGTTGTTAGTTGCGTATCCTTTTACAGGACGTAGCAGAACCAACCCCAGCAGCCCCTGGCTGTTGTGTGGTTTCTCTAGGCAATTCACGTCCAGCAGTTTGCCATTAAATCCTGGACGGTCGGCTCCCTGTCGGAACCAACGCAAGGCGCATAGCCCGCAGCTGTGATCGAACCGGCACCCCGGCATTACGAGGCGTTCGCATCGACTTAGCCACAGAGCCGACTTACTGTAACAGGCATCTTTTTAAAAAAAAATGTTTTTGGTTTTATCACCTAAGTGAGAAAAGACATGGTCGTACAACATCACCACTTTGTTTGATTTGATTGCTCGCTCGTTAATTTTCGTAACGGTCCATGTTTGATACTGGCAGCATAATGTTAAAAAAAAAAGTTTTTTTTAGATTTGCGTTGGCCGTCATCTATATGTCTAAGGTGGTAAAACAAGTAATGCCATCAGAAAAAAAAATGTCAAATGATAATAAGAGATAGAGTCCTACCTTAATCTCATCCAGCTCTTTCTGCAGCTTCTTTACAAGCGTGTCCACGAACTGAGCTTCCACAATGGTCTCGGCACCTGGAAATGAATCTATGCTCACTGCGAGTCAAACCATTCTAACTCATTGCTGGATGTGTCAGACACATCTTTATAACTAAACAACTCACCGTTGGGTGTTAGAGTCCCGCCTTTCTAGGTCACTGCTGGGTGTGGGAGACACACATTTCTGACTAACTCATTGTTGGGTGTGGGAGACACCTTTCGGACTAACTCATTGTTCGTTGTGGGAGACACGCCTTTCGGACTAACTCATTGCTCGGTGTGGGAGACACACCTTTCGGACTAACTCATTGTTGGGTGTGGGAGACACACCTTTCGGACTAACTTATTGTTTGGTGTGGGAGACACACCTTTCTGACTAACTCATTGTTTGGTGTGGGAGACAAGCCTTTCTGACTAACTCATTGTCGGGTGTGGGAGACACACCTTTGTGACTAACTCATTGTTGAGTGTGGGAGACACACCTTTCGGACTAACTCATTGTTCGGTGTGGGAGACACACCTTTCTGACTAACTCATTGTTCGGTGTGGGAGACACACCTTTCGGACTAACTCATTGTTGGGTGTGGGAGACACGCCTTTCTGACTAACTCATTGTTGGGTGTGGGAGACACACCTTTCGGACTAACTCATTGTTCGGTGTGGGAGACACGCCTTTCTGACTAACTCATTGTTGGATGTGGGAGACACACCTTTCTGACTAACTCATTGTTGGGTGTGGGAGACACGCCTTTCTGACTAACTCATTGTTGGGTGTGGGAGACACGCCTTTCTGACTAACTCATTGTTCGGTGTGGGAGACACGCCTTTCTGACTAACTCATTGTTGGGTGTGGGAGACACGCCTTTCGGACTAACTCATTGTTGGGTGTGGGAGACACGCCTTTCTGACTAACTCATTGTTGGGTGTGGGAGACACGCCTTTCGGACTAACTCATTGTTGGGTGTGGGAGACACACCTTTCGGACTAACTCATTGTTGGGTGTGGGAGACACGCCTTTCTGACTAACTCATTGTTGGGTGTGGGAGACACGCCTTTCGGACTAACTCATTGTTGGGTGTGGGAGACACGCCTTTCTGACTAACTCATTGTTCGGTGTGGGAGACACGCCTTTCTGACTAACTCATTGTTGGGTGTGGGAGACACGCCTTTCGGACTAACTCATTGTTCGGTGTGGGAGACACACCTTTCTGACTAACTCATTGTTTGGTGTGGGAGACACACCTTCCTGACTAACTCATTGTTGGGTGTGGGAGACACACCTTCCTGACTAACTCATTGTTGGGGGTTGGAGACACACCTTCCTGACTAACTTATTGTTGGGGGTTGGAGACACACCTTCCTGACTAACTTATTGTTGGGGGTTGGAGACACACCTTTCTGACAAACTCATAGTTGGGCGCGCCAGACAAATATTTTTTTTCCTGACTAAACAACTCACTGCTGTGTGTGGGACATTTTGCAGCGTATTACCCGACATTCTATATGATCTGAGCATCGAGGAGAATTGGCTCATAAACAGTATCCTTACCCGAATTGTGAGGTATTTTGACCAGGTTAAACAACATGGTGGCCTGGACAGAACGGCAACGGAGGGTGTAGTTTCCCGAAAACGAGGCGGAGGCAGACCTTAGCTAAGGTGAATAGTAGACACTGAAGTTGCATTGGCAAAAAAATTATAATATTACTAACAGTCTGGTAGTGTGGCGCGGTGATTTATGTCACAGGCGTGAGGGGAAGTTAAGTCCAACATGATGTGTATAAGAGATACTCCGTACGTCACTCGGGCGCCAGTCCTTCACCGTTCTGGTTGTACGGAACCTCACGCAAGACCCCTACAGCACGTCCTCGTCGTGCGCCACGGATAATGTCTCAAATGAGCATTAACAGAGCTGTCAGGGGATCTCGGAGTTTGGCGGCCCCCAGAGGTGATGTGTCCTTGTGGCTCTCATCAGCCCGCCCCCAAACGCTTGGGTGAAAAATGTTATCAAAACTCATTAGGAACATGAGTAGGTTTGCCAAACGTACAGCCAAAATTACAACCCTTGGTTAAAAGACTGCGGAGTAAAGAGAACATTGTTCACTGCACATCCTCTGTTAACCCTCAGTGTCGTCGTCACCGCGCTGAGGTACACCACAACAGCAACCATCCATAGGCTGGCCATCCTTGTACATCCTCGGTTAACCCCCAGTGTCGTCGTCACCGCGCTGAGGTACACCACAACAGCAACCATCCATAGGCTGGCCATTCATGTACATCCTCGGTTAACCCTTAGTGTCGTCGACACCGCGCTGAGGTACACCACAACAGCAACCATCCTAATTGTCCGACAAAACTAGATCATACGGATCAAAATCTGACCATCAAAATTTGTATTGAACTGAAAAAGACCGAATGTCCACACCCAAAGACCCCACTCGCCCGAGTGTTGGGACAAAACTGATAACGATATGCCTGATGCAGGATGTAAAATTCTGTCGGGCTAACGGCTCGTCAAAGAAATCTAACGTGCGAAGGAAAAAAAAAAAAAAAGAATGTACCTATCTGTGTGGTCACAAAAGTCCAAAACCCACGGGCTGCTCCCCGCTGACTTCCAGAGGGCGCAGCCCCTGTCGAGCGGGAGGCCTGATACGGTTGTGAGGTTAAGCAGGCATGTGCAGGATGTGACGATTCCTTGGGTGAGCCCAGAACCAGAGCGCCATGTGCCGGCTCTGCATGCATGGAAGCCTCCTTGGATGGCGGGGAATGCCCATGATCTGCCCCTGCCTTCCCTTCCTGCGGAGGAGTCAAAGTGGACACCACACAAATCAGGCAACGTCTCGACCCACACAAAACAATGGCCACAGTCAACCTAGAAATAGGCCTGACGTCTTCCTTCGAAGTCGGAGTACAGCTGCCCATGAGGCAGGGAAATGAAAAACGATTGTACACGCAAAAATCAGGTCCAGGTGAAAGCCAAAAGTCCAAGCGGACGATTAACCGGGACCTTCCACTGGAATTCACAGCCGGTGATCGATAAAAAAAAAAAAAAGTCTGGTAGTCTGGTAATCTCAGCTTCATAGCAAACGGGTTACCTCATAGTTGCTCCGTTCCTGTGCCAACGCCTCAGCATTTTCACTAGCATACACAGGCATTAAAAAAAACTGGCAGTCATCGGAAGTGCTAATACACACAGTCCGACATTAGAAATGCATTTCGTCATCAACTGAAGCAGCACTAACAAGCAGATCAGTAGTTGGACACGCGATTAGTTTTAATCACATAAGGCACCACAAATTCTGTGGCAACAGGCCAATCGCAGTTTTTGAAACTAGAGTTCACACTACAACGTTGGTCACAGTTGAAAAACATTATAATTGAAATCCGCAGCTCACAGTGTCGCGCCATGCACTCAACACAGTAGCTGAGTGGCAAAACTATATCCGAATATTATTTATAATATTTTCTTCTTTTGCAGTCTCACTTATACCAGGTTGTAGCCTGGTGTCGTGGTTTTGTCGTCTCATTGACACCAGGTTGTAGCCCAGTGTCGTGATTGTGTCGTCTCACTGATACTAGGTTGTAACCCAGTGTCGTGATTGCGTTGTCTCACTGATACCAGGTTGTAACCCAGTGTCGTGATTGTGTCGTCTCACTGACACCAGGTTGTAACCCAGTGTCGTGATTGTGTCGTATCACTGATACTAGGTTGTAACCCAGTGTCGTGATTGCGTCGTCTCACTGATATTAAGTTGTAACCCAGTGTCGTGATTGTGTCGTCTCACTGACACCAGGTTGTAACCCAGTGTCGTGATTGTGTCGTCTCACTGATACTAGGTTGTAACCCAGTGTCGTGATTGCGTCGTCTCACTGATATTAAGTTGTAACCCAGTGTCGTGATTGTGTCGTCTTACTGACACCAGGTTGTAACCCAGTGTCGTGATTGTGTCGTCTCACTGACACCAGGTTGTAACCCAGTGTCGTGATTGTGTCGTCTCACTGATACTAGGTTGTAACCCAGTGTCGTGATTGCGTCGTCTCACTGATATTAAGTTGTAACCCAGTGTCGTGATTGTGTCGTCTCACTGACACCAGGTTGTAACCCAGTGTCGTGATTGTGTCGTCTCACTGACACCAGGTTGTAACCTGGTGTCGTGGTTTTGTCGTCTCACTGATATCAAGTTGTAACCCAGTGTCGTGATTGCGTCGTCTCACTGATATTAAGTTGTAACCCAGTGTCGTGATTGCGTCGTCTCACTGATATTAAGTTGTAACCCAGTGTCGTGATTGTGTCCTCTCATTGATACCAGGTTGTAGCCCAGTGTCGTGGTTTTATGTATTTGCCTTGCGCTTCTCAGGTGACTTGGGTGATGGATTTGTTCACCTTTTTGCAAGTTTCTGCTTCACCATATAATCATCTCGGTGCCTTATATTAATACGCTACCCGAAACAGGGGAAATCCACAGGTCACGGGACAATCTAATATTTCAGGGGGTGGTAGATAAGTTGCGTGCAATCGTGGGACCTAGGCTGCATGCAGTCGTGGGATCTAGGCTGCACTCTCTTGTGGGACGTAAGTGGTTTGGGGCTAGGCCCATGTTTAGATGTTTTGGGGTAGTTAAAGGCATCAAAAAGCTGGGAAACCCGCTCTCACCACCCTCGAAAATGTTGGACTGTCCTGTGACGTCATCTGGGGGTAGGATTTTAAGAAAGAACATCCATCTCTTTTTTGGTCTTCCCGTCACCTTACTTCCAGATGTTCTACTGTGATATTTTTTTTTAAATCACATATACTGTATTTTAAGTAATTAAAAGTGTATAAGGAAATACTTATAAACAAAATCTATGAACAAAGGTGGAGGCAGGCCAGAAGGATACATTCATCCCTTTAGATATTGTATAGAGGGTAAACGAAGGTTCTGGCGCATCTTCTTGGCACGGCCTTTTTGTGTAGGTCTGTGAGATGTTTATCAAATACAGAAATCAGGCTTATAAATCCTTGTTGAACAAATACGAGAAGAGCGGCTGGTCGCATGGTTCAGGACAATGTCTCTCATGCAGGGGACCCAGGTTCGAATCCCTGGTAAGATTATTTTTCTGTCAAGGGCAAAGTAAAATAATCACGTGCACAGTGCGCGTCGACTGCGCTAGCCTAACTCCTCAGGCTCAAAGACTTCCCTGCCTACGAGGTCAACAGAGGTCAACACCGGTAGTATTTTTTTTTTAATAGAACAAATACTTGGTACGGCCTACCTATGGGAGTCTGTGAGATCAGCATCAAGCACAGATGGGTATTCTTTCTGGCAACATCGGATTTATCGTCAAATAGCTTGGCCAGGGGGAAGATGGTTTCCAGCTTCAAAAACGAGTCTCTGCCAATGATGTGTCCTGTGTCATGCAAGAGTGTTAGTTCCTGTGACGACTGCACATAAAATAACATATTCTTCTTCTTCATTTTCTTCTTCATTTTCTTCTTCTTCTTCTTCTTCTTCTTCTTCTTCTTCTTCTTCTTCTTCTTCTTCTTCTTCTTCTTCTTCTTCTTCTTCTTCTTCTTCTTCTTTTTTTTCTTCTTCTTCTTCTTCTTCTTCTTCTTCTTCTTCTTCTTCTTCTTCTTCTTCTTCTTCTTCTTCTTCTTCTTCTTCTTCTTCTTCTTCTTCTTCTTCTTCTTCTTCTTCTTCTTCTTCTCTTTTCTCTTCTTCTTTCTTCTTCTTCTTCTTCTTCTTCTTCTTCTTCTTCTTCTTCTTCTTCTTCTTCTTCTTCTTCTTCTTCTTCTTCTTCTTCTTCTTCTTCTTCTTCTTCTTCTTCTTCTTCTTTTACCACTTCGGATGTCTAGGAAGATATAAGATTCTGCTGCTTGCTGTTCTGGCCTCCTCGACCATATACACATCGTGGTGTTGTAGAGTTTCTCTGATGTTATCTGTCCATGTCATTCTTGGTCTACCCTGTGCTCTAGGCCCTTTTCCTCTTCTAATGAATTTGTAATAGCCTGGAGAACGCAAAAGACTGCTGTTCAGCAGCTTGATTTTGGTTTGTTTGACCGATACCTTTATTTAGTCTAGTTTACGACAAATCCGGAAAAACGTCTCCAGCCTTAAGTTAATAAAAGACCTTGTATAGTCTTTTAGCAGTCTATTCGACTTCCGGACGCACCCTGTGGAGACCTACCCCGCTGTTGCGGCTTTGAACATTGGGCTAGCCAGCAGGGTATGTGCGACTGCAGGGGAAGGCTGTTTGTCAGACTGAATTCGCAGCAGTGGTATATTTCCATAGTTAGTCCTAAAATTGTCTCTAATAGTTATACTGTGTAATACGTAGGGGTATATTCTCGCTAGGATGGCAGGTAGCTATAGGTGATTTGTTGGTCTGGTGGCATATTGAAGTTTAACGTACATGTTAAATATGTTCCGGTTTTTGCCATTGTTGAAGTGACCTCGCTGAGCTGATGGTGTCATTATCATACTTCCTTGCTAGCTGATGGTCGCTTTGGATTCTGGTCGAGCACGTTAGTTGTTGTTAATGTTATTTGTGGACCACGCTGATTTTTTTTAAAGTGAAATAAACAGATGTTCAATATGGTAATCATAGTTCCAGTTGTATTTAGTTAGGATTAGGACTTGTGGTTAGTGTGCCTAGTTTATTTATTGTTGCTTGGCCGATCTCCTGTCAGGGTGAGATACTTTTGATCTTACCCCCTCTTAAACGAACTCTCTTTTTTTTTCTGGTTACTGAGGCAGCTTAAGTTTGGGTTTTGGCTCCCACTCGCCACGTCACATTGTTAGAACTCTTGTAGGTTCGGAGTCGAGGAGATTTCAAGGAGTAGATTTCCATATTATCCTTTTTAGTTATCTCTTCTCTTTCCTCCATTACAAGATACCCCCTCTGCTTTGCTTCTAGTACATATGTCTTGTATGGTGTGATATCACAAGACATTTTCCCCAAGTGAGCAAACTATTTGATTTGCCGTCTTTGCGTGTAATTTAGAATTGGTTCTGTGCCGACTTGTTTTCTTATGACCTCGTTTAGGATTTTATCTTTTCTTGTCACTTTTGCAATCGAATTTGTGAGTTTTCTAATTTTCTTTTGTTTCAACACCAAGGTTCACTAAACAAGAAAACACAACTCTAGACTGGACAAGGGAACACCACTCTATACTAGACAGCGGAACACCACTCTAGACTGGACAGGGGAACAAACACCACTCTAGACTAGACAGGGGAACACCACTCTAGACTGGACAGGGGAACACCACTCTAGACTAGACAGGGGAACACCACTCTAGATTGGACAAGGGAACACCACTCTAGACTGGACAGGGGAACACCACTCTAGACTGGACAGGGGAACACCAATCTAGACAGGGGGACACCACTCTAGACTGGACATGGGAACACCACTCTAGACTAGACAGGGGAACACCACTCTAGACTGGACAGGGGAACACCACTATTTACAAGGAAACTATAGCTTACATAAATTTATATTAACCATGATTATATTATGTCCCCTATATGACTGTGGCGTAGGCGTTAGAACGCGCTTTGTAGTGCTGGTTTTAAAAAAGGTACGAAATTATAGAGAAGAGAAGAACAAGGGTAAGAAAAAACAAATAGTTTTTTGTCAGCTTTACAAGATCAACAATGAACGAACAAAGGACGTTCCGGCATTTAGCCATCATTAATAAACAAAGACAACACAACATACATACAAAAAAAGTCACTAACTATGAAATGAAATCATTAGAATATTATGTGCACCTCTCTGATCAAATACTAATAACCTACGGGCTTTTATTAAGTAGATGATACTTATCTAGGTCACTAGTGAAGGTCCGAGAGGATTCAACAGATACTGACCTATGTATAGCCACAGCGTGGACGGGAAGGGAAAATAGGTCAGTATACCTGGCTGGAGGAGGGGCTAAACGCCAGTAGTAGTGAGGGAATGGAAACAAACACAGAAGTCCAGGGTTCGCTCCCAGCTGTGGACAATCTGTCTTGCGTTGGTTTCGATATTGGTACCGAGAGCTAACCGTTCAAAAAGCAATTGTAAACTACTGAACGTATAATTTGCCTAGAAAACCCACAACAGCCCCCCCCCCCCCCCCCCCCAAAAAAATGCTGGAGTTAGTTGTGCAACGTCCTGTAAAGAATAGGCGGCCAACTGTATGACTCACCTGACATTACACAGAGGCACTCCACTGCCTTATGTCTGGCTGTGTCGTCGGCGTCATGGAGTAGGTTCTTCAAACTATCGCTGATTC